TAGGACACGCGCTGCCTCCTCCCGTCCGATCGCACGGCCGTCACTCGGATCACCTCGGTCCCGGCCGCGCAGTTCTCCGCAACCACCACCTCGTACGTCTCGTTCTGAAACTTCAACACCGGCGCCAAGTCGGCCAGGTCCCCCACCCGCAACTCGATCAACCCCCGGGCGCTCCTCGGCGGGTTCCCCTTGTCCCTGGCCACCACCTCCAAGTGGTACGTCTTGCCGTTGTCCTGGGAGAGGGACAGGGCCGCGGTCACGGCCCCGGTGCTCGGGTGTATCCTGAATTTCGGCTTCTCCTGCTCGTGAAGGAACGAGTACACGATCTCGCCGTTCGATCCCTCGTCGATGTCGGTCGCCACCACGCGCACGATGTTCTTCTCCGGCTGAGTGCCGATCGACACCCGGGCACGGAAAGGATACTCCTCGAACACCGGCGCGTTGTCGTTCACGTCGCTCACACGTATCTCCACGGGGATCCTGCTGCTCCTCGCGTCGTACTTGCCGCTGTCCGTCGCCACCACCACGAACTTGTACGAACTCTGCCGTTCGCGGTCCAAAGGGCTGCGAACCGATTCTTATTTTCTTATCTCTCCAAAGGCATTTTTTCAAAGAGGGGGAGGGGAAGGGAAGGGAAGGGGTTCAATCGCGCCGAGCTGAGGAGAAAGAACGCTACGCGGTATAGCTAGACATAGCTTTCCTGCACCGATATGTCCGAGGAACATCATCGAATTCTCACTCTCTAGACATAGCTTTCCTGCACCGATATATCCGAGGAACATCTCTACTCCTTCTCTCTACTCCCTAGATATAGCTTTCCTGCATCGATATATGTCTGAAAAACGGCAACATCTTCGAATTCTCACTCTCTATCCGCTTTCCTGCACCGATATATCCGAGGAACATCTCTACTCCTTCTCTCTACTCCCTAGATATAGCTTTTCTGCACCGATATATGTCTGAAAAACGGCAACATCTTCGAATTCTCACTCTCTATCCACTTTTCTGCACCGATATATCCGAGGAATATCGTCGAATTCTCACTCTCTACTCCTAGACATAGTTTTCCTGCACTGATATGTCTAAGAAACGGGAACATCTTCGAACTCTCACTCTCTATTCTCTAGATATAGCTTTTCTGCACTAATATATGTCTGAGAAACGGGAACATCTTTGAATTCTCACTCTCTATCCCCTAGATATAGCTTTCCTGCACCGATATATCCGAGAAACATCTTCGTCCAACTCCCGCTCGATGGACGTAACTTATTTCGAGTTCATCGATCGGAGAAGCGAGCGAATTCGCGACATACGAACGATACGACGGAGGACGTCTCTGCTTCGTACGTGCGCGTAACGACGTTTAACGAGCGTGGAATAATAATGGAGCGAGTAGCGCGCAAAATAATCGACGCGGTTATTTACGATCGTACGACGAGTGGCAGCTCCCGATCGTGCTCTTGTTCCTTTTTTATTCGTTCTTCGGGGTCGAGCGCGATGCTCGGGGACGATATCGGTTGGAATCGGAGGTGTCGGCGATCGCTGCGATTCGAGTAATCGGAACGTTATCGATACCGAATCGTCGCGGCCGGTTATCCCGCGCCGATCTCTTCCGGGTGGTCCTGGGAACGAACGAGGGGAGAGAAGGAACGCGGCTAACAACGCCGATAGCAACGACAACGCGACGCAACGACACAACGACGACGACGACGACGACGGGCGGCCCGCCGCTCGGCTACCGATCCCGAGGGAGGGAAGAGATCGCGAAAGAGCGAGGCCAGGGGGATCTGGTTTTGCATATCGGCCTTCTTGCCGGCTGAAATAACGCATTGAAACGCCAGATGGTGTCCCGCTGAAATGACACACGGCTGTC